CTTGCTTGCAACCTTGGCAGAGGCTTTTAAATGCTCTTTAAACTCTAACCCTTTTCAAAGATCTCTCTCTCCCCCCCCCATTCTCTTCTCTTTCTGTAAGTATAATTTGTATACGTTTTTACCAGTGTAATTAAAATTCTTAATAAAAATATTCAAAACACAAATATTAAGGCTGCAGATCATGCAAGTGGAGTAATGTTAAGTTATAGATGTGTCTCCTTTAGCTGTGTAATTTGTGTCATTTATCTGTGAAAAATAGCACCTGTGCCCAAAGAACAGAAGATATGTTATTGCTTCCCTATGGAATAGGAAAGAAAATGAATGCAAATTTACAGGTGGATTAGTTAAGCATGTCTATAAAGATATTTAGCAGAATTCTGATGAAAATAAAATAAAAGATGCCAACGAGCAAAAATTTAGAAGTACAATTCAGCAAGTGATTGCAAAATGTATGAATGTATGAATTATTACAAATGCATGAATGTGGGAAGAAAAATTATTGGATGTCTTCTGATTTAGAGAAAGCACATAAGCAAATTAATTTACTTATAGAATGTTTAGGTAAATACAAAATTCCGAGTTGTTGCTGAATATGACATGAGAGAATGAAGGTATTTTTAAATAAAATGGAATGTTTCTGATGAGAGAATTGTCAAGTTTAGGGATGTAAATGTATGTGTACTTTTGCTGACAGATGATGTTGTATTGATTCCTAAGAACCTAAACTATATTTGACAAATGTTTGATTGTATAATACAACAAGTATGGAACTGAAAATTTATTTATTACAGAAAAAAGTTGTACTATGTTTCCCTGAAAATAAGACCTGGTCTTATTTTATTTTATTTTTTGTATCCAAAAGAGGCACCAGATCTTATTTTCGGGGGATGTCTTACCTGCTTACCTTAGGACCACCATAGCCAGGCCTCCCACGCCACGATACCTGTTGTGCCGCTGCCCGAGTTCTTCTGTGGCCACATGGTGCTTTATGCTGGTGCTGCCGCTCGTGGTAGGACGCCACATGGCTCATCGTGCTGGTGCTGCTGCTCATGGCAGGAGGCTGCATGGCTCGTCACGCTGATCGCACCAGTGTTGCTGCTTGTGGCAGACCGTGTGGCACGTCATGCCATGCCATGCCGCCAGTACCACTGCTTGTGGCAGGCTGCATGGCACAGCACGTGCGAGTGGCAGCATCAGTACAATGAGCCACAGGGCCTGCTGCAAGCGGCAGCACCAGCACAATGAGCCAAGTATCGTGCGGCTGAAAGTGGCCAAATTCAGGCAGCAGTGTGACAGGTGCCAGGGCGTGGGAGCCTGGCTGCAGCAGTCCTAAGATAAGCAGGTGCGGGGCACATGGAGCAGCTCCACCCCTCACCCCTGTATGCGCTTCGCCCCAAAACTAGGGCGTATTTTGGGAGTAGGTTTTATATTAGGCACATACGTAAAAATCACGCTAGGGCTTATTTTTGAGATAGGTCTTATTTTCAGCGAAACACGGTGTCTGAAAGGGAAAGTAGAGTTATATATAAAAGGCAAAACAACTCAGACCAAATAAATTAATTTATATACTTTGGTATCCGAAAGGTGCTTTTCCACAAGGCAAGTGGACTTTCTTTTTTCTCTTTGAAGACATTTCACTTCTCATCCAAGAAGTTTCTTCAGCTCTAACCGGATGGTGGGGAATGGAAGAATTTATTCTCCTTGCAGACAGCTGATCATTTGCATTATTTTAGAGAGTCGTTGATGTCACCTGGAGGCTAATCTGTGCCCTCAGGGTCACCTGAGTAGTGCAAATGGATGTGCAGCCTTCTTGGAACTGTTGAAAGAACTGTGTTGGTTAGACTGAAGATAGATGATGTTGTATCCCTTCCCTTCTGTTGAGAGGGCTGTTCAATTTTGACATAAATGACCTCTTTGACCCCTCTTTCAAACCAGCGTCCCTTTCTGTCCAAAATGTGGACTTTGTCTTTTAAATGCAGATGGACCGCTGAATCTCGTCCTGATGGGTTTGTTCTCCTATGTTGTGCCATACGTTTTTGAAGTGGTTGTTTTGTTTCCCCAGTGCAGAGATCTGCACATGGCTCACTGCGTTGTACTGCATATACCATGTTGCTCAGCTTGTGTCTGGGTGTTTTATCCTTGGGGTGGACAAGCTTCTGCCTTAGGGCATTCTTGGGTTTGAAGTGTGCATGTATGTTGTGTTGGCTGAAGATCCTCCTGAGCTTTTCGATATTCCTGCAACGTATGGAATGACTATGTTGCTTCGTTTATTGTTTTCTTCTTGGTCTTTTATGGAGGAGCTCCTGCTAGGTCTTTTTTGGGATTTGAATAAGGCTCACTTGGGATATCCACAAGTTCTGAGGGCTTGCTTGATGTGTTTTGTTCTTTTTCTTTTCCATCTTTGCTGGTAGGCAGGCCTTCAGCTCAACAGTGTAGGGTTCTGATAACTCCCATTTTGTGCTCCAGTGGGTGGTGAGAATCAAAATGTAAATATTGATCTGTAGGGGAGGGGGTTCTGTAAATTTCAATGTTAAGGCTTCTGTCTTCCTTAATATATACTGCACAGTCCAGGAAAGCACAGTAATAGACAAAGAAAAAAACAATACACGAAGCAATGTAGTCATTCCATACGTACAGGAATATCGGAAAAGCTCAGGAGGATTTTCAGCCAACACAACATACTTGCATACTTCAAACCCAAGAACGCACTAAGGCAGAAGCTTGTCCACCCAAGGATAAAACACCCAGACACAAGCTTAGCAAAGTGGTATATGCAGCACAATGCAGTGAGCCATGTGCAGATCTGTACACTGGGGAAACAAAACAACCACTTCATAAACGTATGGCACAACATAGGAGAACAACCCATCAAGACAAGATTCAGCAGTCCATCTGCATTTAAAAGAAAAAAACCACTCTTTTGAAGATGGCAAAGTCCACATTTTGGACAGAAAGGAATGCTGGTTTGAAAGAGGGGTCAAAGAGGTAATTTATGTCAAAACTGAACAGCCCTCTCAACAGAGGGAGAGGATACAACATTATCTATCTTCAGTCAAACCAACACAGTCCTTTCAACAGTTTCAAGAAGGCTGCATACCCATTTGCATTACTCCGGTGACCCTGAGGACACAGATAAGCCTCCAGGTGGCATCAACGACTCTCCAGCTGCCTGCAAGGAATATAAATCCTTCCATTCTCCCCATCCGATCAGAGCTGAAGAAGCTTCTTGAATGAGAAGTGAAATGTCTTCAAAGAGAAAAAACAAAGTCCACTTGCCTCGTGAAAAAGTATTTTTGGGGCAACCATGACCTGGATGACTGAGAATCTTCATAGACATATACCTTCGTATGTTAACATATTTACTTAAAATGGGAAAATGGAGAAATTGTGGGCAGAGAGATAGCAGGTATTATCTGGTCAAAGGTAAGAAATGAAAGAATTAAAAGGGGCCATGTTTCTACCCATATTACATGAAAATGAGAGTTGAGTATGGCAGGAGAAACATGAAGTGGAATATGGTGGAATTGAGACACTGTATTTAAGCAAAGTTAAAACAAGAGAAGCTTGCGTCAGAATAAACTGATGGATAAAAAATTGAATACAAAAGTGAATGATCAACAAGAAGGAATTATATCAAGTGTATGTGGTCATACAGGGTGAATGAAAAAGAACTGAGTTGTGAAATAAATAAGAAAGAAGAATGAATGGACAAAAAGGAAAAGATCAAGAAAGTCATAAATGGATAGAGTTGATGCAACCCTGAAAAAGAGAGATTACAACTTTTAAAAAGAAAAGGCAAGATACAAATCTGCGTACTGATGTAATTAAAAAAAGGAGAGTTTGCAAAGGCATAAAAATATGAAATTATAATGAATGGTGTTGGTATAGTTTTTAGATCATTTCCTCATAGTTCCCATGATCCTAAGGAATCCCAAAGGTTTGGGGATGGTTCTTAGAGCTTCTCCAAGACCTGTTGCCAAGTTGTAATGTTTAATATGGCAGAAAAATGCAAATACTGCACCATGTTAGATATAATGCAGAAAGTATACTTAACTCAAAATAATACTGCACAATCATTAACGTGGATTTACTGTTTGATCAGATTGTGCCTATGCTTCATTAGCTGTGCTTGGCGCAGCCCAGTTCAGTTCCTCATTCAGAATAATTTAATCTTAAAAGCTGTACAACTTGAATATATCAGACATTTTACTCCATATGCCTTTGCCTAGAAAGATATTTTTAGCAGTGGGGCTCATGTTCATGCAGTGCATTTTGAAAAAGGAGCTTCATTCTTCAGAGACTTTTGGCAACCTGTGAAAGTAATCTCAAAAAGGTTGTCAAGTTACTAAAAGTCCATGAACAATGATATCTTAATCAATGCAGGGACCTGCTGGTTTGACTTTATGCAAAACAAGTTAAATGTTTTTTTCACATTTGAGCTGGAAAAGGAGAGATGGGAAAGGAAAAGCAGCCTTCAAAGGTTGAAAAAGAAGATGGCTATTTAAATACTAGAATGAATCACCTGTTAAATGTTTAAACCTATTAGAACCAAGAGTTCATTGAACAATATTTTTACTGATATATGCATGTAATATTAGAGTACCCAAGCAGGACTACACTTCACAGCTGGCTAGCAGAAACTAATGCAATTAACTACAGCTCATTCCCTGCCTGCAAAGCCCAGAATCCCCCACACAGTAATACTGCCACTCGTATTTCTCAATTGTCTTATTCCTTTGCACACCAAAGGAATAATGACTATTTGATAATAGTTAAGAAATAATTTATCAAAGTGTATCCATAACCACTTGATTAATTAGCATCCTCCTGCCATGGGGAGAAACATGGTACTGATGAGAAAACAATGGAAGCAAATGAATGGGACAATTTTTCAGATAATTAAGTGGCTTCCATTTGGAACATCATCGCCTGCATTCGTCTTTTATCTAACTCAGCTGTAAAGTTTCAGTCCATTACAAAGAGGTCAAAGATACTGCTACCTTCATACTGTGATGTAGGAAAGAGTGGAGTATAAAGAGCTTTCTCCCACCAGCACTGTTTTGCTTGATTGTAGCTTATTTTCTGAAGATCATTACTCAATACAGGAAACTGTTTTGAGAAGAGTTGTGTTTTAGTTCAAAGACAATAGAAAGTAACCCTATACTATGCTACTTATTCTAGAGAATATGCATCCTAACAAAATGTGATATTGTTTCAAGAAATTACTAAATGCTTCCATACAAACAGCTGGTTTATGCAAAGCATAAACGTATATGTTTAAGTCAACTAAGGTAAGTCTGCAGGGAGCTATTACTGCAGTATAAAAGTTTAGTTTTAAAATTTCTAATATACGATTTCCACATAAACATTAAATATTACGTAAGTATTATCTTCTTGTACATTTTATGTTCAATAACCTCTTTTTCATCTTTCCTCTGAAAATTAAGTATTAATGCCTATTTTGACTAGGGAAATAAGTGCAACAGGGACAATTGTTACACATCCCATGGACTGCAAAAATCCAAAACAAGTCCTAGACTGAGCCTCACCAAAATATCATTCAAAGCCAAGATTGCCAAATAAAGGCTATCATATTTTGGCCAGGTCATGTGAGCTGACTCACTCAAAAGTCAATCATGCTGGGAGTGATCAGCGGAAAAAGGAGGAGGGGATGCCCTAACACCTGCTGGGTGGACACTATAAAGCAGTGTTTCCCCAAACTTGACAATTTTAAGGCATGTGGACTTCAACTCCCAGAATTCCACAGCCAGCGTTGCTGGCTGTGGAATTCTGGGAGTTGAAGTCCACATGCCTTAAAATTGTCAAGTTTGGGAAACACTGCTATAAAGGATGACACCAGCATGACCCGTGGAGGTGTGAGACAAAGGGGCATGGAGAGTGCTAATCCACAGAGTGGCCAAGACATGACTGAATGGCTGACGACACTGAATAAGTGCATAAAAGCAGCGATATATTTTATTTGCAAGAAAAGGAGGAGGACTCAATGTAATATAACCTCTACCAGCTAAAAAATGTCTCCTCCATAGAAACTACTGGCAGTTTCTCTTTTGCCTCCTATGCTCATTTTCAGAACAGAATTATATCAATTTTCCCAGGCACCTGAGGGCAGATGCTCAGTTAGAACACTATTTTGTTTCAAACATTAATTTTTGTGCAGAAGAAAAAAAAAATTAAGATTGCACAGTAGCAACTTGGATTGAAAAAGGTTACTAATTCTTGTGAATTCAGGAATATATCTTCCTGATATATTTTAAAGGCATTAAAATCCATTGAATTATGTATCATTTCACCTATCTATACAATGTACAATTCTCAAGGACATACCTCTTTCAGTTGCACCGATGAGCTTTCTTTACAACTGCAAGACTTGTCTTCCTCTTCTTGTGGCTCCACAACAGTGCAGCTAGCTTCAGAATTTTTCACAGCCATTGTATCTTGCACATCTTTCATGCCGCATTCTAAGCAAGAACTCTCATTTTCTACCAGCAATATTCCAGATGATTCTTCCTGGGAATCCAGAGATGTCTGCGCACTCTTTTCCATCCCGCACTTTTTTAATGTAGGAAAGAACTTCCCAGACTCAAGTTCTAATTTACCATAATAATGTCCTTCTTTTTCTGCATCCTCTTCCAGTGGTTTGAGATCTGCTTGTGGATCATCAAAGGATTCAGCTTGAGCAGAGACAAGACTAGTCCCCTCATCTTTCTCAGATTCAAAGTCAGATTCACTTCCACCACATGGAGAAAGTTCAGAGGCAGAAATGGGGCGAAAGTGAGTCCTAGGAGAAATCCGTATTGCTCTGTACTGCGTCCTCCCAGCACCACATATTCTAGGGCGAAAAGCATCTCTGTCAGAATCAGAGCAAAGGATTGATTTGGGTTTAAAGCAAGGGCTGAAGGACGTAATTCCTTCTGGTTCAAATGTACATTCGACATGAAGAACTTGTGAAAATGGATTATTTAAATCAAAGGAAGAGAAAGAATATTCAAGACCAGACTCTTCACCTTGAAAATTACTGCAAGCTTCTAACAAGTCTTCGTGGAAGATAAAAGAAAAACCTCTATTTAATCCATGATCACATTTCAAATGCTCACTCTGCTCAAATGATACGAAAGGTCTCCATAATTGTCTGTGACCAGGAGTAAAGCTATTTCCTGGTGTCATGAAGACATCTGTACCAGCTATTGTGACTACATCAGAAGCTGCACACTGTAGTAAGTTTCCTTTTGGGTGATTTGGGGGCACTATGGCCCATTCTGCATCACTGTTGAATGTTTTCAGTTCCCCGTACACACCACCAAGAATAAATGAATTTTCTTTATCTTGGTTAACATCCCACGATTTGGAGGGTGTAGTATAATCTCCACAATCTACTTTTGATAAATTGGTTGAAGCAAAGCCTCTTTTCTCTAAATTTTCTTTCTGACCTTCCCAAAGATGGTATTCTGATCTTTGCACTGCTTTGTTTGGACCTTGAAGAATTTCTACCTTTGCATCATTTAAGCAGCAACAATAATGATTTACATCAGTTGGAAACAGTTCCTCTTCTATTCCTTCTATTTCTACAATTGCTGCAGAATTTTCATCTGTCATATTTGTCCAGATATCTTTCATAACTCCCGAGCCATAGTCATCTTCAGGCGGACTACTGTCGCTACATACTTGTGGAGTCTCATATTCTTTATCTTCTGTTTTTTGTTCTAACTGAATACCACAGAGAGATTCTAATTTTGACTTCTTTGTGAAAATTAAAGTAGGTATTTCTCCTAAAGATCTCGTCTGTTCTTGGCAGGTTTCCTCCTGCAAAAAATCTACAATTTCCTCATCTATATAACTTGAAGATACCCTAGGAACTATATAATTAATATCATCAGAGTTAAATTGAGGGGATTCTTCAAATGGAATATTTAAAGTCTCATTGTCTGAACGTGTTTCTTCAGAATATGACCATGGACTACAAGTTCTTGTTGACAGATTAGAACAGTGTTCATTTTCATCAAAGGCACTATTTTTGGTCCATATTAACAATCTTGACTGTGTTTTCCCAAACATACCAACATTGCTACTAGAATCTGTATTTTCATTTCCCAAATTTAGTTTTTCAAAAGAAAATGGTAAGACAGAATTACTGCATTGCACTTCAAACACTGAAAAAGAATTTAAACCAGATCCTTCATTAGTATCTGAAAACAGCTCTTGATTGCCTGCAAGCATGTATGAATTAAGCATTGTGCTGTCTAAGGTAGGGGAAAGTCTAACAGGAGAATCTCCTCCAAAACTTTCCCCATCTGCATCGCCAGAGCTAGAAGATGAACAGCACTCCCAAAATTGAGCTAAATTACTAAGATCTTGCAAGAACCACCCTTCAGCACCAGAAGTGGCCGAATCTGCCCATATTGCACTTTCCCCTTTCAATTCCATTCCATCAAACACTATGCAACATTCTGCCTCAAAATCAGTTCCTTCTCTGCTTTTCTGCCGAATCATATTCAAAATCCGACTTTCTCCTTGCATCTTGCCTGAGGCACCAGAATCCAACATGGATTGATCAATATCCACTTCATAGAAGTGTGTTAGTTCTGACAGATGTACACCATCTAAATGTATATCGTCCTCTGGTGGAGAACATATTGAGGTCCTAGTGAGGCCGATATCCTCATTTAAAACTGCAGGCATTTCCACAAAATGACCATCAATGAAAGTACCTGCTGCGAGGTATGTTTTATTAATATTATTGTTGTTACTAATGCAAAGACCTTGCACTGATTCAGCTAATTCTTCTACAACCTCTGATGTTGCATCACATACATCTTGCTTGTTGCGGTATGTCGTCTCAAGCTTACTTTTTCTACTCAGGGGAACAAAATATTCTGCAATTGGCTCAGTATACCACAGAGGCTCCTCCTTATACTCAGTTTCATTCCTGCTATCAAAATATAGCTCTTTTCTCTCGTGGTTTCCACCTTCTTTTCGTCTAATTTCTTTTAATGGCCGTTTACCTCTTTTACATAGTTGCTTGATGGATCCATTGCTGCTGCCAGGAATTTTCCTTTCAGTTTTTTCACCAGCTTTTGGCAAATACTTACTTTGTCCATTCCATCCTTTTTTACCCCGAGCCTCCCTTGTTTTATGCCTTATTTTTACATATTTTGTAGCTGCTTTTAATTCACCATGATTGCCACTAGAATTTGAACCTTCTTCACTGGAACCAGAAGACCAGGATCGAAGACGTATCTTCCCCTCAGATTTATGCCGGACTTGCTTTTTGTATGAAACAGATTTTCCTTCAATACGGTTTCCAAACTTATTCTCTTTTTCATCTTTGTCATTCTTTTCTGTGGCTCTCTCCTGTATAGGTACAGATGCTTTGTTACTATTTCTCTCTTTGGATGCTTCATTTTCACTAATGCAATCCTTTGGAGATGATGTATCGGTGCTAGTTGCTGGGACAGTGGAAGATGAGGAGGTACTGGAGTAAGAACACATTTTGGATTTATTCCACACAGTCATGATTTCTTGTAGGCAAACTGGTTTCTGGGAAAGAGGTGGAAAAGCCTCATAATACCTGAGAGAGAAAAAGATAAACATGCAGTGTCATGTTTTGGAGAATCAGACCAAAAGGCAGTTTCAAGACCAACTAAGCATTAATGATTTTAATATTAACATTAACTTTTATTAGTTTTTTATGACCTAATGTTTTAAAACACGAATCATATCAATCAATATATTCTTTAGCTCATCTCTAAGGGAAAAAACTGTACTTCAAAAACTATTAAGTGGTTAATGTTAAATATTGCATTGTAATTAAAATAAAACAAAATATGATTAAAATAAAACAAAATAAAATAAAATATTTACTTTTTTCAGTAAATATTAATACACAGTTGAAATATTCTATCTTAGTTTGCTATCTGGGGATAGTTAATTCAACATTTCTATTGGATGCCAAGTTGGGAAAGACACTTTTTCCTCCTTTTATATAAAAATCAACTTGGTGGTTGTTCAACAGATAAACTATAGAATTTTAACAACTATTTTCAAATTGACCAAAAGGCCCTCATGGGCAGGACAGTGTTGGTTTTTTATAGGGACCTGAGAGAGACGACAAGATGCATTAATAAAATAGACAACAGTGTTGCTCTGCAATCTGCTAAGTTTGTTTGAACAGGTTCATAATAACTAGTTTGATAGAGGGATAAATAGTTTCTGCTTCCTCTTACTTTGGTGTTTTGTACTGGGATCCTGTCAATGACTGAGGTGACTGAATTGTTGGTCTGGGACCAGAGCTGCGTATGATGAACTGTTGCATCTCTCCACAAATTGGACTGAAGGCCTCAGGATTCAGAGCTGGCTGATTCTGGAGTGATATTTCTTGATCTGGCTCCATTTCATTGCTTACCAGGTTAAAATTTTTCAGTTGTTCTCAAGGTTTCCAAATGTTGTAGTAACATTATACGCTTACATTGTTAAAGTTTTTGAGGACTGATTTGATAATGTGCTTGAAACATCTACTAACTTTTGGTATGGTCAAGTCCATGTCAACAAGCTCATTATTAAAGCAGTGTGTCCCCTGGTTCTTATTGATCTTAGCAGGGGATCAGTAAAATTAATTATACTAGTAAAATCATCTCTCACAGAAGGCCTTCCTTCCAGACGCAGTACTTGAGGCGTCAGCTATATTACATTACATTACAAATCTGAGCTTTTTCTTGTTCAGCCATTAGTTGTGTCAAAATGTCCTTCCCAAATCAGACTCACACTGAAATTATTCTACACTGGAAGCTGGGCATGTCAAATGTACTAGAGTTACTGTCATGGCAAACTGCTAGCAATATTGTCTTAACTGACCATACAAACTTGTGTATTGTTTATATTGTATACTCTAAGCAATTCCATCTGTTCTCAGATTCATGCATAAAGTAACAGAACCTTAAGTTATGAACATTAACTAAAGTCTGTAATTGACAATGCCACAATTCTGCCCTGAATAAAGCATGTAAAATAAACATTTTTTTTTTCAAGAGCATTTGTATTACTTGCATTCTGTATATCCCTTTTCCTTGAATGTCTAGGTGTCTCCATAGAGATGACAAGATGTCAGGACAGTATGCTGTGGTGTTTCTAGGTTGTGATACGCCTCTCTACTCCCCCAGATTATGACTCTGACTCTCATTATTTCTCTCAAAAACCTAATTTTACAATAAAGCCTGAAGATGTAGGTTACTGTTGAGGATAAAAATCAATGTTATCATTCACCAAACAGAAAATAAACTATATTGGAATGAAAAGAGTTCATCCAAACTAATACTTTTTTTTAAAAAAAGTTTAATAATCAATAAAAACATTTTAATAGAGAATGATAGCTTGAATTCATTATTTCATGGCTAACACCATTCCAGAAATCATGTGTCCTTTTCCAGTTTAGAAAAATAAAATAACTAAGAGGGTGTTTTTTTAACATACAACATACATTTCTACTTGATCTTTTGCTGCAGGAGATAAATCTATTTCAGAAGGCAAAGAGTCCTCAAGTCTTTTTGAAATCTTCTCCTCTGCTATTAAAAAAAAAGCCAGTATAAAAACCTCATCAGACTCAATTTGAAATAAATACAAATATATAATAATCAATTCCATATTCTGGCCCATAAGCTTATTGTAAGAATTTATACATTGAATTTACAAATAAATTAATTACATTACCCATATTTTTTAACAGTAAACTATTTCATCTATCTGGAGATTAGTAGGGCAGTTATTAAATTAGTGAAGCTCACACACACACAGTTCTAAACTATGAGTTGCGTTATTTAGTTTGTTGAAAAAGTACACAGTATATACTTGAATTAGTCACAACTACTTTACTCAAAAAAATCCAAACAGGATGAAAACAAAGTACTATTTCATTATCTAAGGTAATTCTGAGTATAATTAAATTTCTTAATTGGTGTGTGGTGATGCAATGGTTAGAATGCAGTATTGCAGGTTAATTCTGTCAACTGCCAGCAGTGCGATCCTGACTGGCTCAAGGTTGACTCAGCCTTCCATCCGTCTGAGGTCAGTAAAATGAGGACCCAGATTGTTGGGGGCAATAGTAACCATTTCCTTGTATTGAATTTACTTAATTTTAATAATTTAATTTTAATATTTTACCTAGCATAGGGTTCAATCTAACACAAAAATAAAGATACACAGTCTTTAGTTGCAAGAGCTAAACTAGCCCCCATTTCTTTAGCTTCCTTCAAAGCTTTATTATTTAAACAATTAATCATGTCAGTGATTGATGCCCCCAAAGTATTAAATACTTTCCAAGCATTTCATCTTACATCCCCTGACTGCCCCCCCCCCATTATTACTTCAGAAATCCACAATCTCCCAAATCTAATAAAGAGATTGGAGGGGACTTGATACCAGAATGATAGTGCCGTGTATCGGTATCATTTTTTTACACATATAAATGATTCTATGCAGATCTCAATGAAAGGAACCACTCTGTAAAATCCCTCTTTTTAAAAAGGCATACAAGCTTAAGCTAGGTAAATGCTGCCCAATCATCCTATAAGTATAACAAGCAAATTATATGCCAAACATATCTGTGAAAATCTAATGGATTTGGCGATTCAGAGAAAAAATTCTAACCACAGAACAAACTGGCTTCAGGCTAGGATTTTATATTTCTCACGAAGGCGCCACACTCCAGCTTAACATGTTCCAAGAAATCTCATCCCAAAATGGAATCTCACCTTGTTCGCTCTGGAGATCTTTTAGCCTGGAACAAAGTTCCTCAACTAATGTCTCAATCCCAGAACTCTGCAATTAAAAAAAAAAAAAAACTAAACTGAATTATTTATAGTTGAACATTCATAAAATGCATGTCTGGTGATTATTTACATTATCAAAGAATAACCCAAAAAGAATTTGCAATAGTCTATCTTTCTTTATGCAGTTGCACTAAAATTAAAATGTACTTTTCCTCAATTCTATATCACTTATTTCATCTAAATATACAGAATTATTGATCTCTAAATAATAGGAAGATTGGTCTCAAGGCTGAAATAAAACAAATGAAACAAGAGAGCCTATTGTTCCAAAGGTGCTTTTAAAAAAGCAACTGGACTTTTTAAATTTTTCTTGAAGACATCTCATCAAAGAAGCTTCTTCAGTTCTAACTAAACTGGTGGGGAATGGAAAAGATTTGTAGTCTTTGCAGTCAGCTAGCCAGTTAACACTGGGGGTCGTTGAAACCATCTGGGAATAAATCTGTGTTCTCAGTGCCAACAGAATCAGAATGCAATGAGTGTGGAACTGTGGATTGAAAAGACAAGTGGTATTGTATCCCCCCCACTCTCTGTTGAGAGAGGGCTGTTCAATTTTAACATAGCCGCTTTCAAGCCAGTTGTTCTCTGTCCAGAATGTGAACCTTGCAGTCTTCAAAGCAGTGGCCCTTTTCTTTCAGGTGCAGATAGACTGCTGAATTCTGTCCTGATGTGTCGGTTCTTCTGTATTGTGCCATGCATTTGTGTAATGGTTGTTTACTTTCCCCAGTGTACACATCTGCACATGCCTCATTGCATTACTGAATATACAATATTGCTCTGTTTGTGTCTAGCTGTTTTGTCCTTGGCGTGCACTAGCTTCTATCTTAATGTGTTCCTAGTTTAAAGTGTGCATGTATGTTGGGTTTGTTGAAAATCCTCGTGAGCTTTTCCGATATTCCTGCAATGTATGGAATGACAATGTTGCTCCATTTTTTGCAAAAATATCAGAAAAGGACCATTAAAATTTTAATGTGAGATTTGCTTCAATTCTATGTCAATTTCACAAAGGCAACTCTAAATCCTTCTGCCTGTATTTTGAATACTAAAAAATTAAGAACCAAAGTCATTAATTAAAATATAGGAAGAATACAGTTAAAAACAATAGTCTTGTGATTATCTGTTAACACATAGTAGCTCCATAAGTAAAATCAAATTTACTGTACTATATTTTTAATCTATAATGTATCAGCAAACATAAAGCTTCCAAATAACAGGTAGTAATTGTTCTACTAATTTGTTATTAGTCTGATCCCACTTTGAGTACTGTGTCTAGTACTGGGTAGCACGCTTAAGAAGAATTCAAGCAAACTGAAACAAAATCTGAGAATATCAGTGGAGATTATTAGAATATTCGCAACTTAATTCTTATGAAAAGATCTGGAAATATTTAGCCTTCGGAAGAGAAGCCTAAGGATAGAGATGATAGTTACTTAGATTTGCCCAACATAAGCAGCCTAAAATATTTGTAAATAAATACTGAAAAGCCGCCATATTTAACAGAGAGGGAGAAACCTGCTCTTTTATCATGTCAGAGGAAGGAATAATAGGTTTATGTTACAGGAAGGCTCTGATTGAATATTACAAATAATTTCCTAATATTTACAATAAATAAGCTATATCAATGATCCCCAAACTTTCTAACTCCATGGACCGGCAGCAGTGATGAAGGGGGAGGGGGGAGGATATAGTTTTGTGCATGCAACTGGACTTGCTGGCCACTTGCTTAGCCCATGGGTTGAGACCTCTGAGCTATATACCGTAAATGCCGGCGTATAAGGCAACTTCCGCGAGCGCTGAAATCGGCGCCAAAGATGGGGGTCGTCTTATACGCCGGGTCGTCTTATACGCCGGAAATACTGGTAGTTTCCGGCGTATAAGACGACGTTCTAGGAATGCGGCCCGGCGATAAAGACGGGGGTCGTCTTATACGCCGGGACACCTTGTACGCCGGCATATACGGTAATCAATTATCCAGAGAGGCAGTAGCTCTCTTTTACTGGATATACTCAAGAAAAGGCTAGCGAACAGTTAATGTTGGCTAAAGTTGATGACATATGACCACAACTGAGCCCAAACTTTCCGTTGCCAAGCAAGACAGTTAGTGAGTTTTGCCCCATTTTATGTTTTTTCCTGCCTGAGTTGTTAAATGAATCACTACATGGAATTGTGAATCTGGCTTCTCCATTGACTTTGCTTTGTCAGAAGATCACAAAAGGTGATGACCCCAGGACACTGCAATCATTATAAATACATGCCAATTACCAAGTAAGTGACTTTTAATCACGTGATCATGGGGACGCAACAACAGTTGTGAGTGTGAAAAATTCATAAGTCACTGTTTTCAGTGCCGTTGTAACTTCGAACAGTCACTAAATGAATGGTTGTAAGTGAAGGACTACCTACACACATTTTTTTTAAACAGTTTCTTTGAATCAGTATTGACTCCTAGCAACTGCTAGACAAGTTCCTATACTTTTCTTGGCAAGATTTCAGAAGTGATTTTCCATTGCCTACTTCCTAGGGCTGAGAGAGAATCATGGGCCAAAGGTCACCCAGTTGACTTTATGCCTAAGGTGGGACTAGAACCGATGGTTTCCTGAGTTCTAGCCTGATGCCTGAGCCACTACACTAAACTGGCTGGCTGTCTTACAAATAAATTTTAAAAACTCAAAAATTATTCCTCTTCTTATAATACACTTTCCATAATTGAATACAAGAAACGTGTTCACATTAAATACAGATTCCATTTGACATTTAATTATTTTGAAAAGGACACCCCCAAAATAACAATTTCAACTAGATTTTTAAAAATGAACAAAAATTGTTATTCTGTTTTACATCACAATTAAGAATCAGAATTTAAACATAATTGACCATGTTGCTAGTCCTTACTTCATCAGAAGCAGAGCGAAGACATTGAACAGCAGCCTGTTTCTTCATTTCTTCTAGTGTAAGATCAGAGCACTTTTTCTTACTTTTCCCCCATTTCTTGTAAGCTCCCTTTTCCCAGCCCAGGAAGATGTCATTCTCCTAAAAAAATAAAAATAAAAAATTGAAAATCATAATAACGACAATATTTCCTTGCATATTGTCTTTGGAATACTTAATGACTTTTAAGGAAGACACTTGGGGGGAGTATGACTCTGGAAAGATTAACTACAGATATATATTCTGTGGACCTATTTACTACAACTCTTGGTTTTATTATATATTTGACATTCCATACCCAATCCTTCCAAGAGTTTTTTTTCCAATTTTACTACTTTTACTGTTCAAAATGCAATGTAACATTAGTAATATTTATTCAAATTAGTAGCAGCAACATTTTGAAATAGCAGATAATAAAAATAGGTAAAGACCAAGTTACTGACTAGGAAAATTAAATTGACTTCATGCCAAAATGACAGTAAAACAGGAACTATGCAGATTGTATTCCATTAACCAGAATATTAAAAGCCAAATAAAGAAGTTAATAAAACCAGCAACCAGGGACACAATGTTCAAGTTAAATGTACAAGAACTGGAGAAAAAAGGACACAAAATAACTGAAGGCAAAAGTGGGGGAGGGGAGATGAATACACTTAAGTTGTCCTTAGAGTCTCTGGATAAACAGATTTTGCCTGAAACGGAAAGACACTAAGGCATAATATAATCCCAACTGAATATTTTACTTATCCTGAGGGGAGAATTAAAAAACTCCCTTATCCATGTAACAGAAAATATCAGCAATTTTCAGCTGATTATGTCACAGTTCGTATGCTGCCACTTGGTGATTGACTGCTTCTGCATGACAGTTCAAAGACTGTGGCCCTTCCCCCCCCCCCCGCCATGGTCTCAAGTTGATAATTTTCCACAGTGAATAAACACATATAATGTTTTTGACTTATGTGCTTCACTGAGTTCTCTGTACTGCATCTAGTTTTAGAACTTGCAACGAGAACAGATTATGCTTTGGGACATATTTATATTTATGCATAAATATTCAAAATTCAAAAGATTTTACAAACTTTTAAGCACCAATGTAGGCTGACCTTGCTAGTGAATACGAGCGGTATCATATCGAAGATACACAATTCAACAGAAAAATCTCATCTATACTTCCTCATCATCCAAACTACTGGCTCTCATTAGTTTGGATTATTTCTTCTATGCTTCAATCCTACTTTAAAAAAAAAATACTTAGTATACAATTGTATCTTAAGTCCTTTCTTCTTTCTTTCCCTTTTTCTCTTGCTATATTTTAGCAAGTCTCCCATTTCTTCAATGTACTTGAGCAGAAAAGAAGCCATCACATATCAGATGCTTGCAACATAAACTGTAACAGAAATATTGCTTCTACCACAAACTAGGTGCAGGAAATTAAATTATACTATTTAAGAGAATTAAAATAAGAAATAATATACTAGAAAAAGGTTAAACAAAGCTATATTAAAACATCAGAAAGACATATAGAGAAAAAATGATAAAACAAAGAGTTCTTTGGCATTTGGCTTTCAAGTTTCAAGCTTTCAGAAATATCTATTTCCATTTTATTCCGTGATATAGGTAGAACTGATCTAGAAAAGGAAAGTAACAATAGATTCTCTGCACCTCATTTCTCATAGACAACAGCCATTTTATATATAGAATAAACATGCCAAATTACATCTCAGTACAGCAATAAGCATCTCTATAGTTACAAGTAAGTCTGTGTGTGTGTGTGTGTGTGTGTGTGTGTGTGTGTGTGTGTGTGTATAACTTTCTGCAAAGTATAATGCAATTGAAGAGGTGGTTCCTTTGAGGAACAAAAGTTAAGATTTCTAGAAAGAAGAAGCAAAACAAACATAATTTCTTATATTTCAATACCCGCAAAAGCAAGCAGTGAGCCATATCAACTGAAATCCTGGAACACAGAATATGCATATGCATGTACCCCAAATAAAAAAGCAAAAGCACATTTTGCAATTTGTATTAGTTGGCAATGTAGCCTATTTCTTCAGCATTAAGCTGTGACAAGGAAGACACTTTCCTAGACTCAAAACAGGGCTATGAGATGAAAGTAATTGCATCACTACTCAATACCTAAGAAAAAGCTCTACCAAAAAATTTCTGCAACACTCCCTTAGCACTGCAGAACTCTTCTCCAGGAAGACTGCAGTACAGAAAGCAAAGATGAACAGGGAAGGGGGCAGAGAAGATATAGCAGACAAGTGACATGTCATACAATGCCTAAGCAAATATTTCCAAGACTATCTGGAATTAAAACATGAACTTTACAATAAACCAACGTTTAATTCTTTTCTACAAAGTATTATGAACTACAGAAAGTAATGGATGTGCTGCCCTGTTAGGATCAGAATCTAAGCCTTAAGAATGATGACTGCAACACTGTATAATAATGAATACATGAGTGTAGCTTTTAAATATGTTTCCCAGCCATGATCTCCTTTTTAAGCATGACAGCAAAGCAATAAGGGCTAGGTCTTTAGGCCAATGGGGAGCTTCACAATCGGAATGAGACAATGTGCCCTGATTGACTCACACTGGAACAACTCACTATGGGACCACTCGCTGTGGCCAACTCACTCAAGAGAAGGACAAGTAGAATTGCAACTCACCCTAGCCTCAAGGACTTCTAATTTGAGAAGGTTCAGGCCTAAAGCATGACAAGGCCTGCTGCAATTCACTTGTCCCTCTCTTGAATTATCCTACGTTGAATTGTCCCGCGGTGAGTTGGCTGGGGTAAGTCGGCCACTGCGAGTTGTCCCTTCACAACTCAGGTACTCACAAAACATTACCTGATGAGGATCACATAAAGGATGATGTGGCAAACAATCCTAATATCAGCCAATATAGTGATAATAGCATTCCTATTACTTTTTTTTTTAATATTTTAAGGAGGAGTGATTACTCCCATAATACTGTAACCATAGCTTTTCTAGACCAAGTCGTAGGTTATTTATTTATATGAATGGTCTAATAAATGAATATTTACAAAGTTCCTATACACATTAAGAAACAGAAAATGAACAAAAATAATACAAGATCATTAATATAGCATAGTAAGGGGGGAAAGCATAATTCTGCCACCCCAATACAGAACATACAATTTAAATAACTACAAAGCATAATAATATTTGGGACAAGAAAATGTTTTAGCTTGCCAATTAAAAATACCTGGAGATTTCATTAGCAAAGTCTCTTTGCTAAAATGCCACCAATCTCATTTCACTTGAACAAAGTTTCAGTTCTCCCAGTAACTAGTTTTCTACACCATAGATGGGCAATCTTTAGCTTTTGGTCTAACTTTAGAAGTTCTCGGCAATTAACCATTCAAGACTTCTACCAACTGGAGAAGAAAAAGCCCACCCAGCTCTGAATTCAGCCATCCTGACTGGGGCATGGTTCCCAATGGAAAAAAGGCTTCCCAACTGTGTTTCACAACGTAGAACAAAGTACTTAACCTAGCTTCAGGACTATACTATTCATTTAATATTTATTTGAGTAGAAATGCATATTGTAGAGCTTTTAAAATGAACAGCTTAAATGAAAAATACAAAATACAAACCAAGGATAGTGGTTTTCAAAACATACACAAGTCTATTCATTATTCTATAGAAGTGTGATTTCTAGCAAGCTAAGAAGCATACATATTTTGAGATCCAGTGTACAAAGCACATTCCCAAAGTAATTTCAGTTGCCTAGTCCAGCCTTCTCCTACTACCAGTGAAATTCAGTCAGGAGGGAACTGCTGGAGTGTCTATTCAGATTAAAAAAATAAAAAGCTGAATATGCATACAGAAAACACGTTAATATGTATGCTCACTCACCTTGATACATGCACATGTTAATGTACACACAATATTAGATAAGATGGGGAGCAAAGGAATCCAATTAAAGTGCTGTATGAAAGCTGTATGTTATAAGACTGAAATAGAGTAAAAGCGTTTGCATTAAATGAGTATAAATAACTAGAAAACACATGGAAAAGTAAAGTACAGCTGGAAATGAAAGAACACCAGGAAGGTTTTGGGGAGCTAAATGAGAGCAATGGGATGAGGTAGAGAGTGAAGGGAAAATAACATACCGGTAGAATGAAAAAAGAAGGGGATATCAGCATTCTGCAGAGTACAGCACATAGTGTGGAAAGAAAGGAGAGAAGCTAGGGATGGTAATGAAAATATGGCAAAAAGAGAAGTCAAGGAGGATGGGAAGGTGTACCAGGGAACAAAAGAATTCAAAGAAATGGGAGCATAGGAGGGCATTGGGGCATTGGAGCACAGCAAAGTCAGGGACAGTAGGACTGAGTTGTAGCATAGTAGAATGGGACAAAGAGAAAGAGAGGCACACCAGTGGGAATGTGGCAGGGCATTGGATAAAGTCAGTTTCTGCCCATGGTTTCTAAACTCTTAAAATTAAAGCATGATTTAAAACCACAGTTTAGTTTAGTGAAGGTAGACGTTTCTGTTCTTTAAAGTTTTCTTTTTTAAAAGGAACTAAAAAGATTTAGCATAGTTCATTGCAAACTTTTAAAATACAATGTCTTTCCAATAAAATACAGGTAGTTCTCAACTTACGACCACAATAGAACTCAAAGATAAATAGGTTGCTAAGTGAGACATTTGTTAAGTGAGCCCCATTTTATCTTTCTTGCTACAGTTAAGAGAATCACTGCAGTTGTTAATTACACAATTGTTAAGTGAATCTGGCTTCCCCAATGAATTTGCTTGCCAGAAGGTTGCAAAAAGTGATCACATGATCCTGGGACAGTGCAACCATCATAAATATGAACCAGTTGCAAAGCATTCGAATTTTGACCATGTGACCATGGTGATGCTGAAATGGTCATAAGTGTGAAAAACAGTCATAAATCACTTTTTCAATGCTGTTGTAATTCTGAAAGGTCACTAAATAAATAGTTGTAAGTAGAAGACTACTTGTAGACATAGTTCTACTTGCTAGACCAGTGGTTCTCAACCTGTGGGTCGGGACCCCATTTGGGGTCGAACGACCATTTCACGGGGGTCGCCAAACAAGGCTGTCTGCCATTTTTCCCCCTTTTCTTTAGCCACGCCCCTGGCACCCGGTGATGTATAAGTGGTTGGGGGTCACCACAACATGGGGAACTGTATTATGGGGTCGCAGCATTAGAAAGGTTGAGAACCACTGTGCTAGACTTAAAAATCATGTTTCTTAAAAAGTATGTCCCATCTTCCAAATTGTATCAAATTATTTTTGAAATTGTGTTTTACAAAGGCCTTCTGTGATTTGTCAAGATGATTATTTTACCAGTCAAACATCCCACTGAGTATATCTAAATTTTGAGATATGCTTCAAAAATCCCATGTTTGCTGCTCTAAAAATATGAAACTATGATGCATTATTTATTTTAATAGCATACACAGATAATTTAAAACATACTTATTTTTCAGTCAAGCACATCTAAAATATGTAAATACCTGTTCCTGCAGATCGTAGTCATAATTATCATGCAGCAGAAGACTGAGGACATAGCGAGTATAAATCATGGCATCAATGCCACATTTTTCTAGCTCTTGTCCCAGCCAGGTCTGCACAGGGCCCAAGGCCTGAAGCAGAGACATTTCTGAAACAGATACAGGACCCAGACAGGAGCTTGAGGAGCTTTCAGATGGCAAACCATCCACAACAACTGTATAGACTAGGTGCATGAATCTAGGTGGCTTTCATCCTTAGAACATGAAGCATTTTCTGTAGATGATATTCCGTGGGAACCTGGAAGTGGGTATTTTCACTCCAGTACTGAGGAGACACGCTTGACATCTATAGGATCATCATTTATATTTGCTGGCAGTTAACAGTCTAAAGACAAGACCCACTCTTCAGGCATAACCAGAGTATACTAAATCTTAACAGGAAACACATGTTTATGTGCATTTTTCTACCTTAATTTCACATTGAAGCCAGATGTAAATCCCCAGCAGGACCTATAAAAAGGGGAAAAAAGAAATTGTGACTTGTATTAAGAAAACAGGTACCAATTAAGAACACATACACACACGCACACTGATGCACTGCAGTAATCAAACTTGGTTTCCTATAAATGGACACATACAATAAAAGACAAGCCTCACAGAAAGAATTAGACATGCATCTGCTTAGAATGCTGAGAAGTTATAATTTTAAAAGACTTGAGGAGCTTCTTCTAAAACAATTTTTTTCTCTTTTCAGCGTTTAGAAATATAAATCTATGTATGCATTCACTATTTTGGAACTCACTAATAACTTAGTTTTCATGCACTATTTTTCCACCCCGTTACATTAGCAGTAAGCAGTGAACATGCTTTATCTTATAACAGATGGAATCTGAATAGAATTTTAGTACAATGGCAGTGCCTTGTTACTCAAAGGAACTACAACTATAATGTGAGAAAGTACCAAAGAGAAAAAATGCCAATTTAGTCAAAATATGCTGATTAATTAATATAGTTTTAGAAATATTCATTTATATAAAAATTAAAAGTTAGTTAATGATTGAGAACACAGATAATTATGCAGCTATGATTCCCTAACAGAATATGAGAATTAACTATGTTATAGAATTGCATGCTCCACTATGCTAGACAATAATCTCATAATCCTAGCTATCAGAAACATAGTAATGTGAAACATAATACAGCTCATCCAGAAAGCACATTGAGGGTAGTTGCTAGTAAAAAAAATTCTAAGGCTCTGCAACATCAGATATGTAAAAGTTACAGTTTGGGGGATGGACCACTCTGGTAGAACTCTAGAATGTTCTTTATGTCCTTTGTATTATGTCCAGCACATCAAAAACCTCTTCCAGGTTGGAGGGTTAGTATAAAACCTCTGAGCCATCCTGGAATGGAGAGACTGGCATGGTCTGGAGGAGGAATTGAATGCTACAGTTTTTTTTTTTAACTTCCTATACTTAACTTTTTAATAATAATAACTTTTTAATTTATGAGAAAGTATGAGAGAAAGTAAGACAAGTCCAGCTTTCCACTCTGAATGAACATTGAAATAAAAGATGGGGCAGATAACTAGTTATATTTTAGGATTTTAGAAATTGTCACATCATAGAAGATATCTCCCCTTTATGGATTACTGCCTTGTCATGGCGAAGGGGCTTGCGTAACTCAATGAAGCTATAAGCTATGTCGTGCAGGGCCACCCAAGACGGACAGGTTATAGCAGAGAGTTCTGACAAAATGTGATCCACTGGAGAAGGAAATGGCAAACCACTCCAGTATCTTTGCCATGAAAACCCCATGGACAGTACTAAAAGGCAAAAAGATATGACGCTGGAAGATGAGCCCTCAGGTCGGAAGGTGTCCAATATGCTACTGGGGAAGAGCAGAGGGCTAGTACTAGTAGCGCCAGAAAGAATGAAGCGACTGGGCCAAAGCCGAAAGGACGCTCAGCTGTGGATATATCTGGTGGTGAAAAGAAAGTCCGATGCTGTAAAGATTTTTTCTCCATAGGAACCTGGAATGTAAGATCCATGAATCAAGGCAAGCTAGACGTAGTCAAAAAAGAGATGACAAGACTGAACATCGACATCTTAGGAATCAGCGAACTAAAATGGACAGGAATGGGTGAATTTAACTCAGATGACCATCAGGTATACTACTGTGGGCAAGAATCCCTCAGAAGAAATGGAGTAGCCTTCATAGTCAATAAAAGAATATGAAAAGCAATACTGGGATACAATCCCCAAAATGACAGAATGATCTCAATTCGAATCCAAGGCAAACCATTCAATATCATAATAGTCCAAATCTATGCCCCAACCACTGGTGCTGAAGAGGATGAAATTGACCGGTTCTATGAAGCCCTACAGCATCTGATAGAATTAACACCAAAAAATGACGTCCTTATCATCATGGGGGATTGGAATGCTAAGGTAGGAAGCCAAAAGATAACCGGAATAACAGGCAAGTTTGGCCTTGGAGTACAAAATGAAGCAGGGCACAGGCTAATAGAATTTTGTCAAGAGAATACGATGGTCATAACAAACACTCTTTTCCAACAACCCAAGAGACGGCTCTACACATGGACATCACCAGACAGTCAACATAGAAATCAGATTGACTATGTGCTCTGCAGCCAAAGATGGAGAAGAAACTCTATACAGTCAGTAAAAACAAGACCAGGAGCTGACTGTGGCTCAGATCATGAGCTTCTCGTTGCAAAATTTAGGCTTAAATTGAAAAAAGTAGGGAAAAGCACTAGGCCACTCAGGTATGAACTAAATCATATTCCTGATGAATATACAGTAGAGGTGACAAATAGATTTAAGGAATTAGATCTGATAGACAGAGTGCCTGAAGAACTATGGATGGAAGTTCGCAACATTGTACAAGAAGTAGCAACTAAAAGCATCCCAAAGAAAAAGAAATGCAAGAAAGCAGAATGGCTGTCTGAGGAAGCTTTGCAAATAGCTGAGGAAAGAAGGGAAGCGAAAGGCAAAGGAGTAAGAGAAAGATACACCCAATTGAATGCAGAATTCCAGAGAGTAGCTAGAAGAGATAAGAATGCCTTCTTAAATGAACAGTGCAAAGAAATAGAAGAAAACAACAGAATAGGGAGGACCAGAGATCTCTTCAAAAAATTGGAGATTTGAAGGGAACGTTTCATGCAAAGATGGGCATGATAAAGGACCAAAATGGCAGGGACCTAACAGAGGCAGAAGAGATTAAGAAGAGATGGCAAAACTACACAGAAGAACTATACAAGAATGAGCTTAACGTCCCAGATAACCACAATGAGATGGTCACTGACCTCGAACCAGACATCCTAGAATGGGAAGTGAAATGGGCCTTAGAAAATCTGAGCAACAACAAAGCTAGTGGAGGTGACAGTATTCCAGCTGAGCTATTCAAAATCTTAAAAGACGATGCAGTAAAAGTGCTACACTCAATTTGCCAGCAAATTTGGAAAACTCAACAGTGGCCACAGGATTGGAAAAGGTCAGTTTACATTCCAATTCCAAAGAAAGGCAATGCCAAAGAATGTTCAAACTATCGCACCATTGCACTCATTTCACATGCTAGTAAAGTTATGCTTAAAATCCTACAAGCTAGACTCCAGCAGTATGTGGATCGAGAACTACCAGAAGTACAGGCAGGATTTCGAAGAGGCAGAGGAACTAGAGATCAAATTGCCAACATACGCTGGATCATGGAGAAACCTAGGGAGTTCCAGAAAAACATCTACTTCTGCTTTATTGACTATGCAAAAGCCTTTGATTGTGTGGATCACAACAAATTGTGGCAAGTTCTTAAAGAGATGGGAGTACCAGACCATCTCATTTGTCTCTTGAGAAACCTATATGCGGGTCAAGAAGCAACAGTGAGAACCGGACACGGAACCACTGATTGGTTCAAAATTGGAAAAGGAGACTGGCAAGGCTGTATACTGTCGCCCTGCCTATTTAACTTATATGCAGAGCACATCATGAGAAAGGCAGAGCTAGATGAATCAAAAGTTGGAATTAAGATTGCCGGGAGAAATATCAACAACCTAAGATATGCAGATGATACCACTCTAATGACAGAAAGTGAAGAGGAACTAAAGAGCCTCTTGATGCGGGTGAAGAAGGAGAGTGCAAAAGTTGGCTTGAAACTCAACATTAAGAAAACCAAAATCATGGCATCCGGCCCTCTCAATTCCTGGCAAATAGATGGGGAAGAAATGGAAGTAGTGACAGATTTTATTTTTCTGGGCTCAAAGATCACCTCAGATGGGGACTGCAGCCAAGAAATTAAAAGACGCTTGCTCCTGGGGAGGAAAGCTATGGCAAATCTAGACAGCATTCTAAAAAGCAGAGACATCACTCTGTCAACAAAAGTGTGTATAGTCCAGGCCATGGTTTTCCCAGTTGCAATGTATGGCTGTGAAAGTTGGACCATAAGAAAGGCTGAGCGCCAAAGAATTGAGGCCTTTGAACTATGGTGCTGGAGAAGACTCCTGCGAGTCCCTTGGACTGCAAGGCGTTCAAAACGGTCAGTCCTAGAAGAGATCAACCCTGACTGCTCTTTAGAAGGCCAGATCCTGAAGTTGAAACTCAAATACTTTGGCCACCTAATGAGAAGGAAGGACTCACTGGAGAAGGGCCTAATGCTGGGAAAGATTGAGGGCAACAGAAGAAGGGGACGACAGAGAATGAGATGGCTGGATGGAGTCACTGAAGCAGTAGGTGTGAATTTAAATGGACTCCAGAAGATGGTAGAGGACAGGAAGACCTGGAGGAACGCTGTCCATGGGGTCGCGATGGGTCGGACACGATTTCGCAATTAACAACAGAAGATATCTGTAAGGACCCACTCCACTTTACATCTTAAGAAGACAGAACTCTAGGAATATCTCTTCCAACAGGCATCTTTATTAAGAGAAGATGGTTGCAGGCATTCTAGACAGGATCTGAGGAGTTCTCTCCCATCCTTCAATGTTTTAAGTGTTCCCAAGCAGCCCCCCCATAGTTCTTCCAGCTCATCCTCTTTTCCCAGATTCCAGGTGTTGCCTTGTTCCCCCCATTTTCCCTCTCTGACGGCAAAAGGAAGACTTCAGAGAGCTGAGTAAATGAAAGGCAATGGCCATATTGTTATGGTGAGTCCTCTTGATGGGAATCAATATCCAGTCCTTTTGTAGTTTACTGAAGGAAGTGTGAGCCATAAAACCCCCCTGCTTATCCCCCTTCCCCTTCGTAGTATGACAGAATCCAGAGAGGGCAGAAATGGGTTTTTTTCCATAGTAGATAACTAGAAATGAAATATAATTGGATTCTGACATCCTGCCCCCTTAAAAATAAAATAGATCCACAGGTATAAAAGTTAGTCTGGCTTGTTAGGGTACTCTGTATGAAACTTCTTTAATAACTTCGGGGCTCTGACATGACGTTTATGGACCCACTCGTTTTGTGAGGCAGGGAGGTGTTTCATGCCTCATGCCACTGAGTTGCCCC